CTTTTTCCAACGCGTCCTCCTCCCCTGATCGATCCCATCAACGTGTCCAATTTGCACCGGCGAATCTCGATTTTCACGCTTCCTCCTCTCGATAAGACGGGCGGGGACAGATCTGGACAACGATCTTTCGAACGTGTCACGATCTTCCCGAATAAATTAGGGAGGAGTCAGCGCGTTTACGTATCGTTTACAGTAATTAAATTGTGGAATTTTTCGTAAAGATTTCCACATTTTTATTAATTTGAGATCGAATAATTCAACTTGAACTTTGCTGTTAACGAATGTTAGACTGGTCGAACTCTCGCTGTGGAATTTGAATAATTTGAAATATTTTTGAAATTTGAATTATTTTTATCCTCGTGAAAATATAACCTGTTTAATTTTCCATGAACGAAATTTCGCGGATATGATAAATGTTTAAATATTAAATATTCTATAATAATTATAGAATAGTTAGTTTTTATAAAACTTATGCAATTGTAGATATCAATCTAATATCTCTGATTATCAATAATAAGAACTAAATTTTCTTCGCTTGCAAAATTCGACAAAATTATATACATCCAATATAAATTTCTCTTTACCATAAATCGACGGAGCATTAAATAACTCTATATCCATCCAGAAACTCTAACTTACCCCAACGACCTTTCTACCCTCCTTTTCCGATCCCTCGAATCCGCCCAACGCAATTTCATTTCGCTCGATCCAATCGTCCATTAAGCCAATCCAGCCAAGCCAGTGTCGTAATTTCGAAACGTATACGAAAAATTCCCTCCACTGGAACGATCGATGAAAACCGTATCTTCGACGCGTCTCGCCCCGCCACCGCTTTCCCTCCGCCTCGTCAAACGCGCGCGCGATCATTACCATCCGTATAATTACCCTGGTCCGTGGGACGGTCGGTTGCCTTTGCCCGATCTCGTTTATCCGGTCCGCTCGCGGGGCCAGATGTTTTAATTGATTTTTGCGCGATCAAGCGTCGTGGAGAAAAAGAAGAAGAAGAAGAAGAAGAGGAAGAAGAAGAAGAAGAAAAAAATTAATGATTCGTCGTGCTCCTCGATCGTGAAGAGAGACAGCCAGTGTGTCGTCGAGTGAGAGAGAGAGAGAGGGAGTGACACTTGCCTCGTCACGAGCACGAGTTTTATTTTTCCAACGATTCGCGCGTTACAATCGTACAGGGACTTAATTGTCCTGAAATTAATGTGCCATGGAGGATGGCTATGTACGTACATTCGATTCTTATCTTCATCGATTGGACGTTTAACTTTTAGCACAATTTTAAATGCGAAATATAATGAAAATAAATATGAAAATGAAAATAAAAATATATTTTGCTAAAATGATATCATAATACTCTTAGAATATGACTGTTCGTCGCCACAGTATTGAAAATATTTATTCGTTACATTTGTATCTTCATCGATTCAACTTTTAGAGGTATTTTTAGCTTTAAATTCGATAAAAATGAAAATAAAAATATATTTTAAAATGAAATCATAATACTCTTAGAATATGACTGTTCGTCGCGAAATATTGAAAATATTCATTCGTTACATTCAATTCGTATCTTCATCTTGAACTTTTAGGGGTACTTTTAGCACAGTTTTAGACGCGATAAAAATGAAAATAAAAATATATTTTAAAATGAAATCATAATACTCTTAGAATATGGTTGTTCGTTGCCACAGTATTGAAAATATTTATTCCTCTTCGAGACAATAATAATAATCATAAGTTATTCATCAAAGTATTTAGAAAAATATTCTTCTACATACTCTATTACATACATCAAAATTAATACATTCTTTATATACTATACCCGTAATTAAATAGATGAACAATTAAACAGGATAAAGATTAAAAATTCGAATTCGATCTCTGGTTGACAGGAGAGCGAGGAAAAGGGACGGCTTCGTTCCTTCTAACGTTGATGAGTGGAAAATGAGACTACACGCCGATATCCGTGATCGTTCAATCATGTTTGTTATTAAAATTCAAATTTGCAATGATATAAAACAACGAACGAGGGATCACTCGTCATCACCACCTCTTCACCGTGTATACGTCTCCACGTGTACATAAAGATGTACTCCTTTACTACTTCCATTATCGTCATTATACCCGCCAAAGAATTTCCCCTCCGCAATTTTTTTCAAAATGGGAAAATATATCAGATTACCGACACGTTATCATCCACGTGTTCATCAGCGTCAACCTGTGTAAACCGCGATCCAATGTCAAAAATGCCACGTTGCCGTTCGATTAACGTTCGATTACTCCCGTCCCTTCCCTCTCTCTCTCTCTCT